ATGAGAAGGGGCTTTGACTAATTAGGGGGATGATAATGGAAAGATGGTTGCCATTAGGAGGACAAAATAATAAATTCATCTGTTCAAGCCATAAAACAGTTATTTGAGGGTACCTTTGGGAGGGAGGGATGAATAGAGTGGGTACATGAATGAATGAATGAATGGCTGAGAGGATTGGGACAGACAAATAAATCTGTTGATGGAAACATGATTGATGAAATGAAAAAGAATGAAAAAAAGAAAAAGTAACAGATGCGTGGGTTGATTATGTTATACTAATTGATGGAAAATGGTCATTGATGGATGGATGGATGGATGGATGGATGGGTAGGTAGATGGATGGATGGATGGTAGGTGGATGGATGGATGGGTAGGTGGATGGATGGATGGATGCATGGGTAGATGGATGGATGGATGGATGGGTGGGTAGGTAGATGGATGGATGGATGGGTAAGTGGATGGATGGATGGATTCAGTTGTCAAAAGCAATAGGCTGATAGATGAAAAAAGAGCATACCTCGTATGAGTGACTGCATAAACACGTTAAGCTGTGGATTTTTTCATGCACTCATGCATTTTAAGTCCTGTTTTCTTGTGGGCTTAAAACCCTCCATCTTGGAATCAGTTATTGGTGCCTGCACCTGCGTTTGTCTCACAACACATCAGTGCTGGAGCTCCAGGAAGTCTTTCCCAAAGCTTAAATGATCTCCTATTTCTGAGTCGGTATCTATCAAGACCCTCTATATGGACATGCTATAATCATGCTTTTTGAACCTTCATGGTTCCCGTAGTCTCTCTGTGCATGAGCAGAGCATGCTTGTAATGTGTGTGAACGGGCTAAGTTAAGCGATGGTTTTCTTTTTGCTGCCTGGGTGGAGCCCAGTTAGCAGTGTTGCTGCGTCATGCTAACGGGACTCTGGATTCCAGAAGTTGCGGTGTGGTTCTAGATGGATTTATAGATGTAAGCTATTATTTTAGATCAGACCTATGTCATTTTAAAATGCATGTAGGACACGGACATATGGCTCAGACCTTTTGCTACAGCTGTAAACACAATGTTCCGTAATGATTAAGAGCACGAAAGTAAACAAAATAGTTATTCACAACACTAGCAACAGCAACTATCTTGTTTTACATGTTGGAATGACGTATGCGGATCCTCCCGCTGGGAGGATTTGAAACACCGCCATCCTCTGCTGGATACTGTGGTGCGCTGCTGCACCCTGGTTGTTTATTCTGTTATTGTTACCGGTACTTATCTTGCAAAGTGAAATGCTCGGTCTCAGATTTTGTAAGAAAAATAATAAAATTTCCCCCCAAAATGCGACTCAGTGTGACTTAAAGCGCCTTGGGCTTCCTGACAGGGTTGCGGAAGACAATTTTTAAATAAAGCTTTGATTTGATTTGATTAAATATGTTTTTTTCTTCTTCATTATACATTTTATGGCTGGTGCGACTTATACTCCGGAGTGACTTATACTCTGGAAAATACGGTTCATAACGCCTTTTAGAGTCCTAGGACCTCCCCGAGGCACGTAGCAACACACCAGTCATTCACTCGTGCATGCACACGTTCGCTCACTGGCGGTGACGAACCAGAATGTCACCACTGCTGCCGTGGGGCTAACTGACAGAAGTTGGGCTGTCATACAAACTAGGTGCTGCCAGTTCCCTTCAATCACCATAGGCAAGAGTGAGACATGAACTGGTTATGAGGCAGGCACTTTACTCCTTTGTCACCTTCTCTGCTCAGAAGAACTTTTTGGAATATCCCTTTTAACAGAATACAAACAAAGAATAAATGTATTTTTCGTAAAGGAGTAGTAAAATTCTAAAGGCTAAAGGCTGCATATCTACCTACGATTTAAGAAAGGAAAATGCCTTGTGCGTATTACATCGAACACATGTATACATCCAAAAGAGATGTCAATAAATGAATTCTTTTAACACTTTTATGAGTTTCTTATGACTATTAAGTTGCCTTCTCCCATAAATGAAGGCTTTTTCTCAGAGTAAAAGACCTCTGGATTACTAGGATAAGTGTCTCACTGCATATAAATGAGCTTGAAGGCAACACTTAGCCAGTGGACGTGGATTAACCTGTATTCCCTTCACCAACTGTGAGTTAGCTCACATATGTGATTATACGTGTCGATATGTGTTTTGCTACATTGCAAAATACAAACAATATAGAGTTAGTGCATTGTTTTATTAGGCGTTAATCTCCAATGAGCTTTAGTCAAACTCTGATCCCACCTTTGGTTTGTATTATAATGAAATATTAATAGCTGTCTGAAGGTATATTGATATTTTACAGTTAATAAAAGTATTAGGACATGTTTACATGCATATATTATTCATGTTTGTATACTTGATTTTTGTGTTAAGTGATTGGACTTTGCATGTGAAGCTAAGAGAGCTAAAGACCATAATAGGTTTTTCAGGGAGCCAGATGTCGATGTCAAAGTCAATTAAAGGAGTAAAGGAGTAGCTGGTTGTGCTTGGCTGTCTGCGGGAGCTGTAGTAGTGACGTTAACTGAAGTAGACTTTACTGACCCAATGCCTTTTGACCTACTCCTCCCCAAAAAGTCACATTTGTTTTGGTTTTCTCAGAAAGACCCAACAACTTTAATTAGAAAATCACACCAAAATAAAGCTAAAGCAAATACTACGTAATCTTTGGCTAAATAAACTCAGAAATATATATGAACACTTAAGTTAACACTCTTAAAATTATTTTTGAAATGATGTTGCCAAAATAGTTGTTCATATAAAAGTGCTCTTGCAGAAAAGCACATAGGGCTATTTATGTATTTTGCTTTCAGAGACCATGACTACATCTTATTGACTTTTTCAGAAGAAATACTGAAACATTTCGCTATATTGACATAAACCATTTGCCAATATAGGATGGACATAGTTTTGACCTTAGAAGTGTGTGTGTGTGTGTGTGTGTGTGTGGGGGGGGGGGGGGGGGGGGGGGGGGTTACAGTAAGTATGCAAGCCTATACAAGACTTTACATTGAAGAGCTTAGAGGCTTTTTTATGCAATGTCAGGAATGCAGAACTATAAAGTACACAGATGGCAGTAAAAAGCAAGCAAGAATCAGCAGAGCCAATAGATGAGCTTATGGACGTTTCTAATGGGAAACAGGCTTCAGAAACAGGGGACAGAAATTTACTTTGGAAAAAGTAGGGGGGGCATGTCCCTCCAAAAAACTACGTCCATGTAATATAGTCATATTACATCTATAGCCATTAAAATATATACTGGTGTGTTAGTTTTCTACTTTTGTACCAACTCAAAGATTCATTTGTCAGCTTCCTCACAGACATGAATTTATAAATACTTACATCACCATTAACATTATTATACAAACTTTACAGAATTATTTGAAGAATTTGAAATTATTTAATTTATTTATTCAAACAGCAGTCCTGCACTCTGTGACCCTGCTCAGTCTATGGTCCATTATTCCTATTATACTATTTGTCCTAAGTGGATCCAATCTATGGTATTGTGATTTATTTTTAGATACGTTTTTTATTATTTTATTATTTGTTGAATTAGTATTAATTTCAGGGACCTACAGAGTAATCTTCTCTGTGGGTGGGTTTGGCATTATGTGCTATAGTTAGCTTTTCTTTTAGACAGATGGTCTATTTTTACCTGATTGACTACAAAACGTATTTACACAGTTTTAGTCAAATATCACAAGATGCCCTATAGGTTATAAATTGTAAGTCACTTTGGATAAAAGCGTCTGCCAAATAAATAAACATAAACATAAATAAATGTAAAACCTAAAAAAAAATTTCAAAGGATGACTTCAAGTTCTTTAACTCATTCACTGCCAGCCGTTTCCTGATCAGAAAAGCTCTTCGCTGCCAGTAATTTTCAGTGTTTTTACTGTTTTTGTAAGAGTCACAAAACGTTGCGCTCTTTGATGGTGTCGATGCCAAAACTACCAAAACAAAGAGTAGACTCACCTCTTACAGCAGGAAGAATCCGCGGGTTTCGAGTGTTATCCATTCTTTCATAATCCGTTGTGAAATTGTGATCGGCAGAAGCTTTTCTGGTTCGCGCCTCATTTTTTTACAGCAGTGGCCCAAAACGATCTTCTAACACATGGATTTTCTGCTTCCTGATCACGTGACATGTGACATACGCGAATGAAGATCGGCTTTAGATCTGGGATGTTTGTTCTCACGGTGTGAGGGCTCATTCAGACGCCCACACAGTAAAAAATGCAAATAGCGACATCTCGTCGATGGTAGTGAATGGTTGGATTTAAAATGACAACTTTTGTCATCAATGGCAGTTAATGAGTTAAGATAAAATGGCATCTTTTTTTTCTAGTTACACTGTCTGTATCCATTTACATCTCATTTCTGTTGAAAATAAAAGACATACATTTTGGGTAAGAACATTCACACTCAGCCACCACTAAAAAGTCTCAGATTTTTATTCTTTTATTTTCTTATTTTAGTACAGACATGTTTAGGTTAGAAAGATAAAGGTAATTACAGAATGGCAATAATACAGCAAATACTATCTACTATGTACCAATATTTGATTTGCTGCTCCTAGCAAGAAACAACTTTCTAACCTATTGAATCTATGGCAAATGAGATCCATCTCATGGATGCAGGAATTTTACTGCTTGAATACAGCAAAGGAATCATGCATATAAAGACAGTGACTATAAAATAGACACAAATGGACATAAATGAGTTTTAAGGAGAGAGAAAATATTGTTCCCTTTGAATACATTATGCCTAGTAAATAGAACTGGTAACAGAAGAAGATTCTATAAATAGGTTCTGCGTGTGCTCTCCTTTAAGCAGCCTGTTGGCAACGAAAATGTTGTTGGTGAAGACAGCAGCTTCTAATTGGCCGGCTCGGTCTCCTCATACCATGCACACACAATCTGTCTTTCTCTCTTTCTCTCCTTGTTGCTTTGCTTTGACTGATGCTGTATTCCCTCCAATCCCTGTAGGGCTGCGTGAGACGGGGAACCAATAGTATGTCAGGGAGGATTGATCTGGGAGCAGTTGGTCAGCTTCAGGCTGAGATGTTGCATTTGGACCTCATTGATGGTGCTGACGGTTACCGCGGTGATAAAGAGTCCTCCAAGGCATCAGCTGTTGCATCTCCGGCAGTCACCAAGGACCCTGCAGCATCTGTCACCATGGATACTTATCGGCCCAAGAGACCCACGACACTTAACCTTTTCCCAATTGTGCCACGCACACAGGTAAAGTATATTAATCTTATCTACACACACAAGCACAATTTCTGGAAGGCATCTGAACATAAATAAAAAAAAAAGATTTATGTCTGTATGACTGGCTGTTTGATGTTGTTCCTTCTATACAAATATGACATTTAAAATGAAAGAAAAAAAAGGAAACGACAGGCTAGTCTGATAATCACTTTTTGTTCTTGAAGAATGTGCTTTTTCTATACTGAACAATAGATTCAATTGTAAAAAGGCTTTTTTTTGCTTCCATTTGGTGCCAATCTCTGTTTGTGCTTGGATGCAACTGAAGCTCGTGACTGTGTGTTTGTGTCTACTATGTTAACCAGTGTGAGAACTTAAACCAAGAGGGAGTCCACCACATAGTGTTTGTGGTTCATGTTTAAGCTTTAGCTTACATTTAGGGGTTGATATAGATGCAGAAATGCCTATTTTAAAGATTTTTGTAACTATACGTTTAAATATGACTATAGTAAGTGTGTCTGTGAAAGGATGATGATTGTTGTTCTGTTCAAATCTATAAAATATTTGAATTTTTTTTTTTTGAAGAACAGATTCAAGTGTGGTCTGATGTATTGCCCAGTTTTCAACCTATGTGTGCATGTATTTGTATCCAGCTAAAACATCTCAATCAACAAAACCATGTTAGTTTTGTCTTTAGTTCAGTTTAAGCTCCAAAGTCATACAGTCATACAGCCTCATGCAATAGAGCATTAATCCACTAAACTATGGGTTAGCATGCTTCATGTTGTAGGATTCTAGGACCAGATAGTATAACCTCTGGAATAGGCCATGGAAATACACCCAAATATAACCACTTAAAGTATGAACAACTGCTAGGTGTCAGAACATTACTGAAACTTTAGGTGTTGACTTAATCCTAATATGCTTTGAATGAAAGTAAGAACTTAAAGGTTCCATTACATAAAAAATAAATTTTTGAGTTTTTTTAAAGGTAAAGTCCCATTAGTCATAATCACACACTGGTGACATTCATCTCAGCGGGTGACCCATTCTTGTGGGGAGCGGTGAGCTGCAGCTGCGGCTGTGCTCGGGAACTATCTAGTGGTTTAACCCCCCAATTCAACCCTTAAAGCTGTGCATCAAGCAAAGGGGCATTGGGTCCCATCTTTCAAGTCTTTGGTATGACCCAACGGTTTTTGAACCCCAATCTCCCAGTCCCAGGGTGGACACTCTACCACTAGGCCACTGAGCTGGTTTACCATGTGATATTGTTGTTTTCTACCACAAACCTTGTCTTTGTTGCATTGATGCATTTTCCTGCCTTAGCTTCAAAAAATTTTTTTCTAATTCTTTCAAAGCCTGCAGATGGGACAAAGTAGCCCAAGTGTTTCAGAAGGCATTGCTCCTCCCCCTGAAGCTCTCAGGTCTGGAACCCGCCTCCCCTGGAAGTAGGTCACTAATGCCCACTTCCTCTAAGATGCGGAAATAGAGCAGTCAATTTCATGTTGCTGTTGAGAATGTGACCTTCATGTCGCAGATGACTGCTTTAAACCTCAAACGGTACCAGAGTCGATATTCTGACAAAATACTTCTGCATTTGGGGACAAAACACTGCTATGAAACCATGCATCATGTCTACAAGGATGTATGTAATGGCCAGCACAGGATATGTGTGTTAGGCGACTAATGTTTTGTAACAAACTTGGTAGTCTTGTGGTTAGAGTTTGCCATTTTCACTGGTTTGACTTCCAGCCTTGACAGCAATTTATTTATCTTATTTTGTTTAGCTATATATGCCAATGTAATGTTCTAAACCCTTTTTTGGTCAATTGTTTAAAATAAAAGGACTAATCTTCTTTTTGTACTTTGTTTATTTAGCCAGTGTGAGTCCATGTGAGGTGAGCAGAGTATCAACTAAAATGCTGCTTGGAAATGATAAAATTCAAAGATCTTTAGAGACACAAAATAGTTTGCAGAAAATAACCAATAAAAATAAGTAATTTAAAAAAATGTTCATTTGCTTCAGCTGTTACTTCTAACACAGAAAGTCGAACCGGTGTCAGGACAAGGTGATAGGCACTTGCTTTAACTACTAGACCACCATAGCCAATACAGCAACTGACTTACCTTGCTGTTATCCAGTCCAAGGCCAGATGTCCATATGGAAATAAGGCTCCAAATCTTGTCGTCTGAAGCTCTTCTCTGATGTGCAATTTTTTTATTCCTGAAACTGGTGCACTGGAGCTTTTTTCCCCAAAGTATGAATTAGAAGGCAGTCTACACCTTTAAAGAGATATTACACAACATTGGGTTAATCCCTGTTGTGTCACGACTCATCTGTCAAAAGGAACTAGACGATAATGTGGCTTACAACATAAATTAAGGCAAAATGCATAAAACATGTCAATACTTTAATAAACAATGTTGGATATTTAAGCCATGTAAGGAAAATAATATGCATTCTTTTACTACATTTTAAACTAGTGTATAGGCCTGTAGGGTGGTCCATTTGTTATGCAACTGCTGATGTTACTGTCTTGGATGGTAAATTTGCCTGTCACTCCAACACACTTACATCCTCTTTCAGTGCGGGCTGTCAGCACGATCACACAAGCACTTCTATCCTCGCTCACGCTTTGTGCTTTGCCCAGTTTTGCTTAGTTGGAAAACTTTATCTTCATGTGTGTGTTATTGTCATTAGTGCTCTCGCACCATTTTTGTTCATTGGAGGTCTTTACCCTAGTGATCAGTCCCAGGTTGTGGAACAAGCTGCATACAAATGTAAAACAGGCTGACTCTCTTATTGTGATTCAATCTTGCCAATAGACTCACGTTTTTTTCTAAGGCCTTTGATTGAAGATGTTGTACAGTACTTTCGTACATGTCGCTGGTTTCTTTTTTTTTGGGGGGGGGGGGGGGGGATACATAAACTGTAACTGTAAATGTAATTAGCTTCTGATAGAAAATAGATGGTGAAAATCTAAGCCTGACCACTCTAAGTTACATTGTGAATTGGACTCATCCATATTGACTCACGACAAGGAACACTGTTGTTCTTTTAGTGTCCAGAATCAACAGAGAACATAAGCTTACTGCTAGCATAGCAACTTAAACATGACTAAGTTCCTCCTGGCTTGCTATTTGTGGAGATAAAACATCCATGTCCCATGAGCAAACAGTTAGTAGTAGAGTTGCATTGCTTTTATCCAATCCAAGGCAAAATATCTAAAGATCAAGTAATAAGACTCCTGTTTGGAGCACAGCTCTGATGTCTCGAGCCTAATTTATACATTGTGATGGAGACACAAAATGCCATTATGCATATAAAAATAAATTAGGCTTCAGACTTGGTCCTGCTGGGCCAAGGGCTTGTGTGCTTTTAGTGCCCTGAGTTATGCCTGCAAGGCGTTCATTCCTACTAGAGACCACTGCAAATGTTTTGATTCAAAAAGTAATCCACACCTTTAAGATATAAACAATTGAGGTTTTGTTGAGTTTAGGCTAACATGACTTTGTTTTAAAAGCACTGCCTTCAATCAACAATTTTTTTAATCTTTTTTTGGTGTATGATCATTGGGCTTGTCTGGTGGGACTCTTTTCTCTTAGTTTTTATGAGTCCTCGAGAGAGCTCATCAGTATGTCTTTCCACTTCCCTGTGTTTCAGCCTGTTTTGTTGTGCAGCCACAGTTTTGCAGCCCAGTTAGGGTGTTTTCATCACACCAAAAAACATGTTACTACTTGTTCTGTAGCCTTGACTACAAATTGTTAGTCTGCTTAAAGGTTTTTACTCCACACAGCACAGTCTGGTGCTTGAAATGGGTGTTAGAGTCTCTGACTAGAGATATATTTATTTCATTCAATTTTTTTTTTACAAATTCTTCTATATTTGTTTTCAGTGCTCATCCATTGCTGGCACTTGGATTTGTAGAATTAGTTTCCTCCATATTCTGATGAACCCCAACTACCATCAGTTTATCCTCTGATTCTCATGCCTTGTGTCATAAACAACAGCTTACTCAGTCCTTGCCTTTAAAGTTAAAGTAAATTCCATAATAAAACTTTATTTGCTGTTTATTGTAGTATTTTGCTCCTAACTGTGGGATATAAAGACAAAAGGACAAACTGACAGATCTTGGCAACAGTAGGTCATAAACCCGTTTAATAGACCTAGCCCTACTCTGATAAAATTCCTTGTATGATGCTACTGGGATAGAATGTGGTCAGAGGGGATTTACGAACCAAAAGAGATAAAAAAAAAGTAGAAGTCCCTTTGGCTACATTCTCATACAAAAGAAGAAACAAAATGTAAAAACATAATAAACAAAAGATCTAGCCAAATAAATGAGAAAAAAAATGGAATTCAGGTTATTTAAAAATAATGCACACTGGTTATATATAATTAATATCAATCTTGATTGATTGATCAGTTTGACCCAGCTAAAGCTTGTTCATGTAAAGTATATGTGTGTGTGTACATTATGTTCTGTTGTGCTTTCAAATTAGATTATAAATGTTCTCCCTTTTATATAAAGTACATATTTCCATTTATTTTTATTTTTTTTTGTAGGCTTTATACTTCTCTTTTGACATTTTAACTATGTAATGTGCTAATTGTCTTTTTTTTTAATTATACAGGGCATGTTTATTGGGTAAATTTTTATCTGTAAAAAATATAGTGTCCAAAAATTTTGGTTTTCATAGGGCCCAGACTTTCTGGTGGTACCCCTGCAAACAAGCAAATCTAGATTCACACACACAGATCTTTTGAGACTTTTACCCATACATGAGCGATGCGTTGGAATGCTAACGGCTCGTTATTCATTGCTTGTTTATAGGAGAACTCTTTTTTTTTTCATTCAAAATTTATAAAATTAACACAAGCAAATAAATACAGAACATAAACGCAATGGAATAAAACAACAACATTTGAATGAACAGGAGCAGACAGAAGAAAAATCTTATGATTTATGCCCCTTTTTACAAAAGAAAATTATCCGTAAAACATATACAATATAACCTCAGTCCCTTTCCCT